TGGCAAGGAGCAATATATCTGAAAGCATCGTCGCTCGGTCTTGTTTCAGGTGGTCACGATATTTATGTGTACTTTTATCAATGTAAATCGGTATTTTATTGCAGGGCAACAAAAGATAAATGTACTGGAAGAAGAACAGGCCCTGCATAAACCGAATTTGCAGAATGATGCATGAAGCTATTTTATAAATAGTCTTTCTCCTTTGTAATGCAGTCGTGTGCTTCGATTTTTAAAAATATTTACGTTGTTGCTGGCACTTTGTGTTCTTCCTCCTCATGTATTACCCGACTCTCTTTCGTCTTCAGTTGCTTTGAGATCCTTCTGGCCATCCGGGACATGCCTATAACACCTGATGGGAGTGGCGATGGAGGTGACAACAGTAACCCATGACTAAAAGTATGACTAACCACTTGTGCCACTAGTCAGGGCAACTACGATTGGCTCAACGCCTCGTCAACCTCAGATGCTAGAATCCACATAGGATTATTTGATCTGGAAACTGTTCGTGACGGTGTATCTACGCAAGATTCAAACAGAAGATAACACTGAACACCGTTCTTGGTGCTTAAATGACGAAACGGTCAGGAGGGCAACAACCAGTAGATTTGAATCAGGTTGTAGCGTGGCGTCGAGTTGAGGTTAACTATGAACACCGCTACCAAGAAACACGTGCTAAGTAAATCAGAAGGCGAATGTTGAACGTAACCAAATAAATCCATAAAATCCCCAAGAAGCCAAATACCAGGAGGCAATTAATGGACCATATCGAAATATATTTGCTAGCGATCTCGTGGTATCGAAAGGATACCGAGATCGTGCCAGGATACAAGCTTGGTTACAGAACGTAACCGAATCCGCGCGAAGTTACAATCAAAGTGTAAGTAAAAGAATGGAAGCACAAAATAGCTGTCATTAGCACAGTCAAACAAAAGCACATTAAAACAAACACTGGTACAGTTGGTTATAAGAATAATTGTTTTTATTAAACCAGTCGTGTTCTCGTGATAAGTGTGAGTCACTATAGGAGCCCCCCGCTAGAAAGGGTTTACACTTTCGATAGATAGCGGTTTAACTCGTGGGACTGATCGGCTGACGAACGATTGTAGGGCGGAAGAATTGGCGAACAGGAAAGTGATCGTTGATCGTCGAGTTGCCAACGAAGGTCGTTTTCGGAGAACGGTACCAGGAGCGATGTGCTGTATTTGTTGCTTGAGTTGGCATGCCACACCAGAGTGGTTTGTATCCAGAATCTGAAGATGGCGTTCGTAGGGGTCCGGACCGGAAACGCTGCAGACGTAGGACAAAACCACGTTGAGCCGATGAACCAGAAGCGACCGTAACAACCAAGTTCGAGACCAATCGTATACCAAGCATTCGAAACCAATATATCGACTGAGTACGTTGACAAGAGCGTGGGTGATCAGGCCAGCTTTCGCCAAAGTTGACTGAAGTCGACGGAACCAAACGGAGGTGGTCGAAGGCGTGGGCTCAGGAAACAAAAAGAAAAGCAAAAAAGAGAAGAGTGTAGCATGCGTGTAGTATAGGAATAATCCTACACCGTATCGGTTGTTAACTGTGCGGCTAGTCGCGGAAGCATACGGGCAACCGTACTGGGCGACCGGAACGTGAGACGGCAGTCTCGTTCGTATCGCGTGAGCCTGCAATCTCATCCGAGGTCAGAGGCGGCGTGGTCTGCCGATCTGGACGTAAGACTATCGTCTCGTCCGTAGACGGTGCAGATGACGCGTGCTGTTGACCGGGACGTGAGAATGAGGTCTCAGATGTATCTAGCGTGGGACCTGAAGAAGATTTAAGGATCCCGCTAGGTTTGATAGGTCTATCATTGAATCTCAAGTTACCAGATAGGGCACTGTCATCGACGTGTGCTGGTTTGAGACGATCAACGCTGACGATCTCGATGCGGCCATGTCGATCAACCTTGATGGTCTTTTCGTGACGAGGTATTCCGCCAAATATTTTCTCTCTATAGCTGTTGACTGTCTACACATTTCCTCATATGGATATAGTGGGGGGAAAAGAAATATTATGGTCGAGGCTCATCGAAGGGATTTTAACATTTGCCTTCATACAACACCTTCGGGTGCCGCTAGCCATTGCTCTAGACCTAAAGATGACGTTACTCTGATTTACAGCTGCTGATAATTTTTCAAGTCACTCATGTGCACACTGGCCGGCAGTGGTATCTCTAGAGAAGATAACAGGATCACATCAGTTGGATACTTCCCAAACCAAAGTATGGGGTGTCGGCAAACTCCCTTCATGCCAGACAGACAATTATTTCGATCACGTTATAAGCACCAGGAAACAGACTGCTTTTACTGCTGACGGCCTGGTTGAAGAGGTCGAGAATGCGGACATGAAAAGTCCCAAAATCAGGTTAAGCACAACGACTAACATTTATCTTCGTGCTATGTTGTATCTTTGTTCTATTATAATTAGAGGTAGAGTCCAGGGTGTCGAAATCGCTATGTGATTTGACAAATCAGTGTCAGTTTATCTTATGAAGGAAGAATTTCTATGGACAATAAACCCTGAGAATCGACAAAAACAATGTTCCTCAGAATTATTCATGGCAGGTGCGCTCCTTTGGAGAAATGTTTTAGGATATTCGTAAATCAAACGATGTACGTAGGTCATTTTAAACACAACTTTGTGGTTTTTCCTACACAAACTTCAGATGTGACACGGCTTTGATCATATGTTGTGCACCGTGAACTCGGCCACTTGGGAAAACGAGAAATGTAACATGCCATTCGTCAGAGGTTTTAGTGGCTACCCATCCACGACGATATAAAGAATTTTTGCAAACATTGTAACATATGTTACAGTATAAAATCTTTTGTACATGTACCATAAATTCATAATCTTTGTGAACGTTGTGTTGATGTGTACCGCATAGTTCAAGTCAACTTAGAGAATAGGTGGTGTTTGAATGAACTAATGATACCTTTGTACTTGTTGAATGCTTGATTTCGAATTCCAAATACAATACATTCGTTTGTGCTTGTGTCTCACTTCTTAATTCAATTGCGTTATTTCTGGGATTCCTAGTTCATACTACAATTCAAATAATTCGAAACATTGTAGAATACCAACAGAAATCAGGAATACCTACACGACCGACAGCTAAACGGTCCGGTGTATATGTAGCGTTCTGTTTTTGGTAAGTTTGGGTCTAGCCCGAAGGTACCTGGTGTACGGGGTTCGTGTTAGGAGCAGCAAGCGAGATTTTATGATAGGAAAAAGTGACGAGGAAAAGTGGGCAGACGACTCAGTGAGGACAAAGAACACACTTACATCTTATAACGGAAACAACTGACAACAATCAGAAATAACACGAGCGTGATATTAAGACAATCTGATAATCGAAAAAGAAGTTGATAGTGTAAAGATCCAAACGTATTGCAAAAGTTTAAAGACTCGAGTATCTCTTACTATGACTTTAAAAAACTCTTTGCTCCGTTCAGTCATTTTAAAAATTCTGGAAGTGAATGCAAAACGTATAATTCGAGGTAAAATAGTCTGTTATCAGACTACAGTACATACTTTTTCCCTTCAAGTACTAAACTGTGGTTTTAAGATCATACTTCATAGATTACAGAAACATGTTGACTAATGTTTTTATGGTTGGTAGTTTTGATAATGTTTGCGTCACAAGAATATTAATGACGGAACCTAAACAGTTGTTGTCTAGGATGGAGTTAATTATAAGAAGTGAAGATATGGTGTAGTGGCATTAGACAATAGCCACACAATCCACAAAGCTGTGAACACGAGACTGCTCAGAAAATAGATATTCAATATTTAACGCGGATAAATACCGAACGATGGAGAAGGCGCGAATAATGAATTGAATGGGCTGGAGTTGATCGAGTGGCATGGCTCGGCCATGCAGGCGTGGTCTCTGCTGAATGTTACCTTATATCTTCTATTCATATTAAATATATTGTTCTTTCTCTAGCCTAACCTTGTTCTACATCATGTATTGGTAATTGATGCGATACAGTGAGTTGGTGTAGTCGATGGTGTGACTTCCACGTAAGATCTTATAGATTAGGCAGTTATATCATGACAAGTCTACAAATTTAGGATTAGGTCTATTATTAGAGCAGTACTAATATCATAGTAGACCATAATTCTACAATGGAATTGGGTTAAAATTTAGTGTATGAAATCAACGGTTAGGAGTAGCTGTTGTGAATTGTGACATGGAGTTTGGATTAGGTATTAGGGTTGGTGTTAGGAATTAAAGTGTAGGAATGGTTATTATTCGTATGTTCGGCATACTCCGATATTGTAGTTATACTGTGTGTAAGGTATTTCGGTTTTTTATCGTTCGCTACGCACAAAATACCCAGCTGGAACAGCGTGATTATTAAGTTGAAAGTCCTTAGGAGGTAATTCATTCACCTTTTAAGATACCCAAACTTTTTTCTAAGAGAGCTTCTATGACAACTGAACAGTGTGGTGCATTAAATCAAGTTGATGCCAGCTAACTGGGAAAATTGGTACCATCGTTTTTAGTTAAATGTTACGCTTATGACCCTGGATAGACCATTACGTAGTTAGGAACATATATGTTTAATGCACAAATTTAGGAGGTATATGGACCATTCCATCTTGGTCTAGAAGTGGTATGATAAAATCTAACTTTTCCAGTGTTCGCAGATAACTATAATTTTGATTTCAGAGATTGTGTTCAAGGAAGTAGGCAGTTTATAAGTAGTTTTTGAGGTTATTTCATTTGTGATCACTTATTTGAAAATATGGGAAATATATCTTACAATAATAATAATAATCTAGAACAGAATATTTATTTACCTCACTACATGCAATATTTCGTGGTTTTTATTCACAGAGATACCGAATATAACAAATCACAGTTTCGGAACAGTTACAGTGTTCTACTCATTTAAAAATGTTTAAAAAGAAGTCTGAAAACTTGTGTTCAAATAGTTTTAGACAATTAGAACTGAAATTTGACTGCAAATTTTAAAAATATGTATATTTGGTACATTGAGAAACCACTCAATAAATGAAATCACTTTGTAATTATTCTTTATGTGGAATTTTATTCAGGGATTCCATACTACACAAAGAAATATTATCAGTATTGCATTTAACAATTTCAATTATTCGGTCATAGCAAATATTACTAATTGAGTATCAGTTAAATTATTTCCTAAGCAGATTATTATGTAAGACATTGAATCGTTCAATAATAAGATGTTAAGCATTTGCATGTAGGGCATCCATATTCATCTGCTTCATATCCTTGAATGCACTGGTTGTAACAGGTAATGCTAGGACAGCAATTACAAGTTGCACAGCCTGTAGTTTCGTTAAGTTTATACAAACCACCTGGACACGTTTTTGTACATGGCGTAAATGGACAATCAGTAGAGGATAAGTCATCAATATTGATAGTCAGTGGGATTGATACAGAATCCAGAATTTTAGTTTTAGCTTCATTGCCACTTAATGGCTGAGTAGGATTGACAGTAGCTGATACACCTTGAACAATACTTTTTGGCTTTTTTGGTGGTATTTTTGACCGGTGAGAATTTCGATCATCATCCTCATCTTCATGAACATGACGATCCGAAAATTCTTCTTCATGAGAACGAGGTTTATATAGAATTTCTTGATATTTTTTATATGATTCGTGATGTCGAAATGGCTTGGGAAATGGATTTCTTGATGGCCGATTGTGTGACTCACTTTCAGACTCTAATGGGAATGGATGATGAGATGGAAAATGAGAGTCCGGATGGTCATGATGATGAGATGGTGGTATATTTCTGTCCTTAGTTGAAGGTCGAGGTTCATGCTTATCTGACCAAGGTTTGTATTCTTCTGGCTTATGGAACCTATGTTCGTCATCTCGTCTATCATGATGGTAATCATCTGTCAAGCAAGTAGAAAACAGTGATGGAATATATCAAAACTATTTTAACAAACAAACTGTATTTCAGGAAAAATATAGTTTAGTCAAATGGTTGCGATATTTTATTTATTGAATTCTCGATTATTATTTTATTTATTGTATTGAAACTGTCACCGTTTCAATTTCTATGGCTAAGTAGAATGATCACGGTAGCGTTAATTGAAGTGTTTGCAGGAAATATTGCGTCTATACTAGACTTTTTCACTACGTTGTTTCTAAAAGTTTGCCAAAAATGTTTGTTCCAGTAATCAAAATATCAAGGTTATCTCTATCAGTCTCAGTAATCTACTCGGTTAACTTAATGCTTTTTATAGTATCATCCCATTTGCGTATTAAAAGAAGATCAATATTGTTTTAACTTATCAACTAGCATGAAGATACGTTAAATTAATAGAACGAAGGAATCAGATTCATGTATAACACGGTAGAAAAGCTTAAAATATTGATCCAATTCATTTTCACTGAATACTAGAACCAGGTGAAATCAGCTAAAATTGATAACTTATTCAGTATAATTTTTCTTTGGAAAACTAATCTCAGTTGAAGATGTGATCGAAAATATCAAGCACATAACCAGTACAATGTCATTTCATGTTGACTATCTTATATTATCAGACGGAGTTTTGTGGAGATTTTAGCAATTTCAGTAGTCGAAATCATGAGTCAATTGAAGCAAGACCACCATGAAAAACCTGGAAGCATTGAATGACCGTTCTGTTCAAGTATGGGACTCTTCAGCAGCGTGCGTGAGACTGATAGGTCCTGGGTTCGAATCTCACAGGGGGCGGGATTGCGGATGCGCTCTGCTGAGGAGTCCCAAACTAGGACGAAACGGCCATCCAGTGCTATCAGGTTTTCTATAGTGGTCTATATTGGTTGATTCTGTCAAGTAGTTATTAGGCTCAATGAGTCAACATCACAGTTTGACGTTTACTATCTAAACTGATTATTATCTTGTAGAATGTTTCATATATATATGTATATATTAAGTAAGCTGAAGTGTTCAGATATAATTTCATTGAAAGCAATTGACAAAGTGTTTTAAATCTTGAGTTATTGTTAACTAATACTGGTTAATTGTTTTGAATAAGTTTTACTGATAAAATACCTATGATTAGCAGGATACCCTTTACAACTTCTGTATAACTATTATTTGTATTAATGTACAATAAACATTTCGATATGAAAAATGATATGAATATTTAAAGGAATAAATAAGTTTGTGTAGAAATTACGTTGAAGACTTCAAGTCTATTCACTTTAATGTCATATCACATTCATTCTGCAAGAATCTAATCTTTTCTAAGAAGAAGGAAATCCACATATCTTCCATACTAAGAAGAAAATCAACAAAAATTTTATATCAACGTTCTTCGTTTAATTCATAGACAAGAATATAGCTCGACAAATATCAAGAAAAGTAAGTTAAAATAAATCTAAGAGAGTAATATAAAATCTTACTCATGTAGTATGTTGAGATTCTTTTATATTTACAATGAATTTAGTAATAGTTTGCCAGAGTTTCGACAAGAGTTGTTACATTAGGTGTTTTTTAAAAGTACTACTTTAAAGCGGACAATACTGGGTTCGAGTCCCGGGGTGGACACTTACTCTGGGATAAAAGTACATTCATTTGAAGAGTCTCAAATAGGACGAAACGCACGTCCTGGACTTCACTGTCATCCACCACCCATCTCTGTTTATCAGGAAGTACTTCATATAAGAAAGGTCAGTGAAAGATCTGTCAATTTTGTTAGTAGTAGGACAGTCATTGGTCTGTATATTTTTTAAATTTTTTAAATTTCCATATTGTGAATTAGAACAGCATATATGAACGAACAATGTTGGTTTTAAATTAGATCATCAGACTTTACTCTAATACAGTAATATTTATATGTATATACAAAGTTACTAAACCAGTCAAGGCAGTTAATGAGTCAGTAATAACAGTGTAACGGATTACATAATTAAACATAGTAAGTAAAACGTACAAATTAATAATGTACTAATCGTGATGAGAATAACAGAGGCATGAATCCGTGTTTTATAATTGGCGTTAGGTTAATGACTTGAAAATTATAGATGCTGAAATAACATTCATAAGATTACAAAATAAGAAGTGTTCAGATAAGTCGACGGAGGAGCGTACATTTAGAAAAAAGGCTGAAGAAAAATAAGTGAATAAACTGTGTGGAGAATAATAGCCACTAAGTAAAATCGTTTATTAAAGCTAATTCGGCCAAGGAAAAGATAAAGTCAATACAAATTTCTTATGAATACGAAGACTTGGACTGTTAGCTCGAATTCCTATAGCTTCTGCTATATGCAAGAGACGAGACCAAACTTCATATAGTAAGTTAGTAGGAATACGATGAATCACTTTAAGTGACGTATTTCTATCTACTATATGATTGTTATCGATCAAATGTTATAGAACAAAGCTGTGTATTGTCTTGACGATACCCTTTCCTAACCATGAAGGGATGTGTTCACTAACTCATTGATCTAGCTACCTGGCTGTGCACCCAATATAGCTTTCTCCACAGAAGCATCTGAGATCATAAATACACATGGATGTAGGAAAACCAGGTAATTTATTCTTTCGTTGAGGAATCACCATAGGTCGGCTGGAGAACGATAGACAGAGGTCAGATGCATTTTGCTTTAGCCAATCTACCTCGTAGCACATTACCCGCTCTATCTCCATTGAATTATAGCCTTTGGAATAGAAGTTTCTTACTAACCGTTGATGTTGCTGTTATTATTATTGTTATTATTATTATTAATAATGGCTTTATTCAATATTATATTTTGATACAATATAGAATTCTCAGCACAGGGTATTTCAACAAGTTTCTTTTACAAAAAACAAAGACAAAAAAGAAAGCAACAAAGGTTAAAAAAATCTGAAAAACTGTACAACTTTCCAAATTAGAGACATGTTAAGAATGTAAGTTATTGACTAGGTTCACTCTAACAACCTGTTCGTCACAGAGTATATTTGCTAGGTAAGGTATTATAGAACTTTTATACTTTTGCTTGCGTGCATGGATTTTAATGTAATTACGTCTCATTCTACCAGAAGATATACAATGAGAAAGTTATGAGTGAAGGGGTGGTTAGTATCTGATAAGATAACGTCTGACATGAGTTTGCATGACTTTAGATGTCTATCCACAACCATATTAATTATGACCTCGAAAGATTCACCACACACCTTGCTAACTGCCTTCAGCACTCTCCGCAATACAGCAAAGACTTTTCTCAAAGGCCCGGTAAAGAATCATGGAGAACGGTAAAGAATAATAGGTAATATGCAAGAATTGACAAGTTGTAAGAGTAAGTGACCAGTAATTCCAAGAGCATGCAGTTTCTTTATGTAGTAAGTCAGACGGAAAACTTTCTACGATAACAGTAACACGTGAGAAGACCAAGAGAGATCAAAGGAAAAGGTAACACCAAGATAATTGACATTCAACACTGTGTTTATCAAAGAGTCTCCAATGGTACAAGCATTATGGGATCTCAAAATGGTGTTTAGATTCCGTTCATGTCTCATGCTAAAGTTAACAGCTTGACATTTAGACGGATTAAGTATTAGACTATTACCAACAGACCAACAATCAATACGAGACAAAAATTCATTCCTTTCTATGGGATGTAAAGAGGAAGAGATAGGCGTACATATAGTGAGATCATCCGCATATTTCACAAAAAAGTTTTCCGTGGAAGATGGCAGGTCATGCAGAAAAAAGAGAAACGAAGAGGTGAAAGAACAGCTCCTTGTGGTACACCTTCACGAGACAGCAGAGACTCTGAACACTTTCCTCTAAACACAGTGTACTGTTCCTTTCCAGAGAGGTAGGAACATAGCCAGTTGGTTATCCAGCTGTCAGTGTTGACGCTGATTAACTTGTTAAGTAAATGTTGTCCTAGTATAAAGTCAAAAGCTGAAGTATAGTCCAGAAAAGCACATCGAACATACTTCTTACCCTTTTCCAAGTTCAACACTATATTGTGATGCAGAACAGCAACGGCATCTAAGGTGCTTCCTGTTCATTACATGCAAGTGTTTCTTCAAAAAACCTTTTAGATAACTCATTTCAATCAACATATTACGAATAAGCTCTAGTTCATTGTTTATTTTATTCATGTAATCTATTACACTGTTATCACTGGCTCATTAACTGCCTTGACTGGTTTAGTAACTTCTCATATGCATGTAAATGTTATTGTATATTACAGTAAAGCCCGATGATGGTCTTATTGAAAACAACATTATTCATTTTCCTATATTGAATTATTTTAATCGAATTAGTTTTGAATGATGACTAGAGATCAAAAACAGTGTTTATAACCATAGCTTGACTACAAACTGAATGATACGTTAACCGATCTACGCGATAACTAGACAAATCGAAGATACAATGACATTATTTTATCCTCTAAACATCATCTATACTTCGATATATACTTCGGTAACTTATCAAGTAGTGTAAATTTATGAGGATCGCTTTCTTCAAATTCATTTATTAATCTTTAAACAAATAAATGTATAACTTTATTCATTGTAAATCTTATATGCAATATTCAACTAACTTGTGCCCCCAAGTATGGCACCATGCTTTAAATGATTATTAAGAAGAACAGATTAATTAATTAGACCAGTCCGATGTGAATCACAACTGTCATATACTCTATTCTTTTTTTTATTGATCTAGTTAAAGGATTCAGGTTAATCAGTCAGTCAGTCAGCTACAACGTAGGACCAGGCACATATATGCATGAGTCTAAGTTGCCATACCTCATTGACACAACAAGATGAACACCGGATTCATAAAAGTAGTTAATTCAGAGGTGGTAATATATAAAAGAAAGATTGCAATAAGGATATAGTAGAGGAAGAAAGAATTAGTTCGAAGAAAGAAAGATATGAAGAGATTTTAATCTCCTAGTTTAAGGGAAGACAGGGAGTGTATACACCCACGCGATTGTGATCGATTCTGAGCCATGTCACCAAGAGTCTCCAACCATTTGTTACGATAGTCACACGGATCCCAACCAAGTAGTCTGCATCTCCCAACATGACTCAGACTAGAAGTTAGTGACTTAAAGCACTGATGCCACGTTTTTCTTTGGCCACTCGTAACTTTCTTCCAACCATCTTCAACACCGGTTAGCATTGCACGTCGTGATAATCGGTGTTCAGGCATACTTAACACGTTGATTTTAATTGAATTACAGACAAGACTTATTAATGAGTAAAAACAACCATGAAACCATGTTTTTTAGTGCTGTCTACTATAAAACTAAGTAAAATGAACTATGATCAAATTTCGTGATATTTGCTAGTTCTATAGAGGAATCATATTTCATTTTTATTATCTATTTTTACTTCCATTTGAACAGAAAATATATATCACTTTTAAACATTATGACTTTCTTAACATAGCGTGTTGTCAGATCATTATAATCAAAATGTAACTCAGGGAAATGTATCTCATCAGTTGATGTACAAGACTGGAGATCAATTAACGTTCGATATATTAATTTGTAGAAATCTAAATTCCCTGTTTTATCTTACTTGTGAAATGTTGGACGAAAATTTTAAATTTTAAAAGAGCGAATGTTTGTTACGGAGATAATTTACAATACAAATTGACTTTAACTAGATTAGCATTGAAAAGGAGAGATTATTGGATATCTTTTTCGCACTATTTTGAAGGTCGTTAGGGACACTCACTCTCGACTTTGCCTTCAGGTCTTTTGTCAAAGGTAGTAATTTCAGATCCCTGAGTTGTAATCTAATCAATTAATTATCTAAACTTTAGTCAATTAGTGAAATTGTGTGGTTATGATTCAATGTCACAACTAATGTCTGTCTTAACCAGATCATTAGAGAACAGTCTTCACAAGTATTCTACCATAATAATTTTCTACTGATCACAATTGAATTTCACAGTTAAATCTTTATACTGATGTCAATATTTGTGTTTAACTTACGTTCATGATGATGTCTATCATGTAGTTTCCTTTCATCATCTTCATTGTTAGGTCTACGCCGCATTTCGTCATGATTAAATCTATAATATTTGTGATAATTTTCATCCTTTTTAACAAGTGAAGGAGGCAGTTGATCTGGTAGTGTTGATGAGGATTCGGATGGTGAAGATGGTGGTGAAGACGATTGTTTACTTTCATCTGTTTTTGTTTTCTGAATCTTCGAAATCAGTTTCTTTAAATTTTCCTGTAATAAATTTTCTATTTGAGTTTTAATATCATTCATTGATACAGGTTTATTGACTGTACTCTTAGATAATGTTTTATCTTCATTTAACTTTGTCGAATCATACTTATCACTACCTGAAACAAACGATACTGATGTAATGCTTTGAGTAACAGTTGGTTGATTTTGTGAAATAACTTTATCATTTTTCTTCTCAGTTTTATGTTCATCAGTTTTTGTGTAATAGCTCAAATTATTGTCATTCTTATTGATATTCTTCTCATTATTATTACTATTCGGTTTATTTAACAAAGAGGACTCTTTATTTCTCTTTATTGAATATTCCTTTAATTTTATTTCTGATTCTTGTTTATTTAAATCAGTAGATTTTTTATATTCAATATGTTCATGTGATTTATATTTATATGAGTTGTATGATTTTTGAGTGGAATGTTCATGGTCCTTAATTTCTTCTTGTCTACTAGATGATTTTGTCTCCAAAGTTGATATTGATGGTTGAGTTTCATCTTTTTTATATGAATAGTCAGTTGATCTAATAGGTTGTTTCTTTTGAGTTGGACTTTCACCATACTATAATTTAAGAAAACAAACTTATATTAAAGAGTTCAAATAACGTATTTAAACAAATATTGTACATTTAATGTACATAGTTTACTTTCAATTGAAAGTTATTATGAATTATTATTATTATTAACATTTACAGTAGAACATTGGTAGTTTACAAATGACACAAACTTAATCATCTTATGAATAGTTTTTCTACATTTTATGAAAATCAAATCAAAATTAAATCAAATTCCAATTTTGAACATTGTAAATAAATTCATTCACAGTAAACAAAAGGATCCACTGAATTTCATATTGAGATTTGTAACAGACATATAAATACACACATTATAATCATTTGCTCACTAGTGACTGAATTCAAGAGATACTCCTGAAGTCCTAGTGAGAAGCCATTACCAGTGGAGTTCAACCACGTCTGTTGTGAGATAGTAACTCACTGACGACAACGGTGTACGGTGGCGCCCAATCTCGTGGATTAGTTGAAGTTAGACATTAACACCGTTGGATACCGGCTCAGTGGTCTAGTGTTTAGGTGCTCGCGCGTGAAACCAGTAGGCTCTGAGTTCGAATGTCGCAGAGAGCGAGGCCGTGGATGCACACTGCTGAGGGGTCCCACACTGGGACGAAACGGTCGTCCAGTACTTCCAGGTTTTCCATGGTAGTTTAGCTTCAACTGACTCATGATTTCAACCTGTGAAATTTCTGAAATCTCCACAAACGCCTTCTGATTATAAGGATATCTTAAGTTTTTAAACTGTTTCTATTTTTCTATTTATTCAGAGTGTAGTTATACCAATTTCATTGTGCGTAAACATTTCCTAGAACAGGATATACAAATGGTATTGAATATCATTAAACAATTTATTCAAAGAACAACTACTCTTCTTTGAGTTGATTTTCAATGTTTTATAATCGTATATATGTATCTGATAAGTTACAGATCCATCAATAATTAAATATATGTTAAAGTTTGATGAGTTGTTATGTGAAATTTGATTACATTGATTATCTGTCATCAATCTAACAATGGTTTATTCATTCCACGAATTAACATAATTCAATCCAGAAACATGTAAGCAGATTGAATTTTACTAATATACAGTCATAATATATGATCATGGGCTCACTAGTGACTAGCTTCAAGGTTCAATTCCTGGAGTTCTAGGGAGAAACCATGAGCAGTGGAGTTCAACCATATGAAACAGTTATCCACTACAGATAATGAAAGATGGTCACGAGATATTATGAAGTGATTGAGGTTAGGTACTAACATTGTTATGTGCATTCTCAGTCGTCCAGAGGTTAAGCGTCCGTATGTGAGATCGTAGGTCCTGGGTTTGAGACCCGGCTGTGGAGTGTTGGATGCGCACTGTACAGAAGTCACGTACTGAGATGAAAAATCCGTCTAGTTCTTTCAGATTTTTAGTGGTAGTCAAGTTAATATCAGTTCGTTACTAAAAATATGAAACTTCTACAATCTCCACAAAACCCTGTACCAATGATATACAATTGTTACCAAATGAGAAATTTCATAAAAGATAGCATATAGTCAATAGATAAGTGATAATTGGGATAAAAAATATTCGTATATTGGTAAAATATGTCAAAAAAGTCAATGTAAGTGCATTCTAGAATTTATCAAATTTGTTTAAACTTTACCGGTTACAATATTTGGATGATAATAAATCAAATAAACATGAAATATAAACTACTATCTTCTAATTTATTAGCTAAGATTTTTTGGACTTAATTTATTTCAAAGCTTCCGATATTGATGTCAAACACCAGACAATCTACGACTAAATTGTTTGTCATAAATTTACATTCACTTTATTTATTCATGAATAGAATCCCTTGGACTAAGAAGAAACAGTTATTTATTAATCCCTAGTTTACCCATATTTTTTCAGTTAACCTCAGCCTGTGATGTAAACTGTACTGGAACTAAATGAATCTCTGTAATCTACTTGACTTGTAGCTGTAAGAAGATTTTTTTTTCCAAAATTCTTGTTTAAAGTTGGGACTTATGAAGTATGTTGTATTAGGAATAACATACTAGCTCATCGACAACACTGAATGATGTCTCTACTACATAAAACACTCTGAATAAGGTATCACAATCAGGGTTGCTAAATTGTAATTGTAGTCGTTGTAAGACCTTAAGGTAATAAGTTTAATCTTATACAAGGCTGTGAGTGTTCATCATCATTTGGTTTCAAGCATTTTTCCAACCTATTATTATATTATATTGGAATGCCTTATTCGAATAAAAGACTATGCTTACTTTCTAAACTGTTAATGTTTATAAATCATTATATAATTGAGTAATTTACATTTATTGTATTCATATTTGTATGATAAATCATTTAAATAGTTTAGATTAATACCAGAATGATTGATTAGTGCAAAGCATAATGATGTAGTGTATGCACTTATTAATAAGTGATTCTATTTTAGATTAATATAAGTTTAATCATTACAAATGCACTGAAGCACAATATTCAATTATTCACTAATATGAATATCATTCATATTTCATTTTACATTTTAATGATTACAGTATTTTCAATGGTTAAGATCATGAGTCAGTTGAAGCTAGACCACCATGGAAAACCTAGAAGCACTGGACGACCGTTTCGTCCCAGTGTGGGACCCCTCAGCAGTGTGCATGCATGATCTCGCTCCCTGCGACATTCGAACCCACCACCTACTGGCTCTGCGCTCGAGCACTTAAACACTAGACCACTGAGCCGGTATCCAACGGTGTTAATGTCTAACTTCAACTAATCCACGAGATTGGGCGAAACATCCACCATTGTCTTCAGTGAGTCACTATCTGACAACAGGCCTGGTTGAACTCCATTGGTCACTACTTCTCACTAGAACTCCAGAAGTATCTCTTGAATTCAGTCACTAGTGAGCATATGTTGAATAATATCCACAAAACCCATCTGAGATTACAATATTTCCGTAAAAAGAATACTATTGACTTGTTTTTTTAAAAAAAGTAGTCACTTTAATGTCTTGGAAACTGTTTTCTAACAAAAGACTAACCATGGAAATAGATAATATTCAAATCTATACATTAAAAAAATAAGGGATTTGCATTGATGAAAATCTAATCTAATAAAGAGGTCTCATGTAAATTTCGGAAAAATCAGTATGGCATTTTTTTGGAAGAATACATATAATACATCTTATCACTACAGTATTCGATGTTATCTCCGAGAAATTTGAATCAGAATTAAATTATGTGGAATCAAAGACAACTTATAAATACTTTACATGAAGCGGTTACTGATCAATTGAATTGAATGATGGTCGCACACTATGTGATTAGAATTAGATATATAAAGCATTGGACACTATATCGGTGGTCTTATGGTTAGGGTTCAACGCTAAAGCTTAGGATGATGAGTTAGATATCTAATAGAGTCATGATTGTATATCTTTGAGGTTTATCCTATGGTGAAATAGCAATCTAGTGCTTTCTAGTTCTAAATGGTTGTCTAACTGATGTCAGTTTGTGATATACATAATTTTGTTTGCTTGAGAATTGGATGTGAGTTTGCTACTCACAATAGCCTCAAAGGATATTATAATAAAAAGGGGTTCTTGTTACTTGAGCTTCAACCCCTCTGATTCAAACTTAAACGTGCTTCACTAAGTGAGTTTGATATGTATTGATCATGGATTTAGATTGTCCGTCGTCCGTGAATAAATGTCTGGAACTTCAAACTACGACACAGTTTACTGATAGAAGACTATGATATTACACAGAATTAGAAAGGGCTAGTCATCTTTGACTCACCTATGAAAAAAAAGGTTGTTTGTTCATCTAACCCTACTGTAATGATCTAATGGTACCCTCTGACTTCCTTTCAATGAAACGTTTTTATTGACCTAAAACGTTTGTAAACATTCTTGATTCTACTCACCACCCTCATAGTTTATTTAAGCAAAGTTTTAATCTCTGTTCTACAAATTTTGTTATCATACTTCATCTTATAATTCGTACCATTATTTGGAACACTTCTCATCTCCTATTCCTTATGGAAGTTATGAAAACAAAAGAAAACGATCTGTTTATATTTACCTGTTCAACACACAACTTTGATTTTTATTGCACCATATAAAGTTAGTCAAAACCGTTTTAAATGAAAATTTATTTAAAATGTCTTATGAAATATGTTAACAAATGTAAAAATTTTAATTGGAACCATCAAATGATCAATTTTAGACCACTACTGAAAACCTAGAAGAGCTGGTAGGTCCTGGGTTTGAGTCCCGCTTGCGGGATCGTAGATGCGCACTGTGAAGAGTCCCATACTAGGACGAAACGGCCGTCTAGTGCTCCCAGGTTTTTAATGGTGACCTAATATTGATCAATTCATGATCTTAATTTCCACAATCCTACACGGATAAAATGTAAATTTGCTAAATCGAGTCTACCAAGAGAAGTAAAAGCATTCTGCAGGAAGTTCTGGAACTTGGTTTTTTGTAATTGTAACTTATTTAAAAGGCTTATCTCGAACTTTGAGAGGCGGAAGTAATGCGTCCTTTGGGATATTAACTAATGTCACAAACAACTGTATTACTACTGATTCCCTCATGGCAAGAGTGATCTCTTCTAGTTTAATTATTTATCACCTCAAGATAATCCTTTTCTAGCTAACTTTCGGTATGCAATCAGTGTGGTATAATAATTTTCATCAGTTAAAATCAGTGTATAAATTTCCATTCAGTATTTGGTGTTATTATTCAGCTAAGTGGTTATGTGATTGACTTATTGTTTGATTAAGATATTTACACCAAGTTATTTTGTAGTAAACAGGCTTAATGACTGTAATAGAGGGTGAAAAAAAGAGAACAGGCTCCTGATTATTAAAAAACTGGTAAGAACTTAATAAAATATCATATATTTATGATAAGTGACCATCTTCAATATCAACTTTCATCATTGACTGATATCAACTTCCAGGTCATTGAAGACACTTAATTTTAGACTCATCACTAATATTCATGCAAGAGTCAACTGAAGATGAAACACAGTAATTTGGAGTCTTAAGACGAAGAATAATAAATTAGAATTAATTATTACATAATCCTTATTTTAAATAGTTATTGCACTGCTATGGAGTTAAAAATCAAAATAAAACACTTGGTGTTATTTGCTTGTATCTTCCAATTGCAATTGATCAGTCTCTTATTGGCATATGTGCATCCTGTGAGGATGCCTCGACAATGCCTTAATTCACAATCAAGTCACCAGCTTTATAAGCAAAGATGGATAGTGGCTAGCAGTGGAAACCGGACGCGCGTTTCGTCCTATTCGGGACTCATCAGCTGGATGTGCCTTCATCCCAGAGTTCATGTTTACTCCAGGACTCGGACCCAGTACCGTTCATTTCAAACGTTTCGAACGCCGTCTTGAATTTCACTGCTAGCCACTATTCATCTTTAAATAAAACAGTTGTTCAAAGATCTGTATTTCTAAGTGGTTCACCAACTGCTGTTCGCAAATGATTAACCTGGTTTTTTTGCTATTAAAGATCCTGACTACTTTATTGTAAAGTTAAAATGCACTTACATACGCGACACTACCTATTTACTGACTGGAATGTTGATATATATATATATATATATATATATATATATATATATTCCTGGTGGTCTCATAAAATGAACAAATAAATTGTCATAGATAATACTTAAGTGAAGCAAAATATTTCCTACTATTAAATATTAATTAGTGACTGAATATATACTTAACAAAGAAATATGTCATTGTAATGTATAAATATTATTTGGTTAGTGTAATTCTTTCAATAGACTGCTGGACTGCTATTGACGAAGTCATTGTCCTGAAGTCTTTCGTTATTACCATTAGTCATCAGGTCGTATCGTTATCTGTTACTTCAACAGTCCGTAATGAACACAGTTTTCATTCTAAGAAATAATATTGTTGTGCTTTACTAATGTGAATCTAAGTTAATACAAAACATTTGATACTTCAAAGCAATTAAACCTAAATGTTTTAGGTCATAATACGATTCTAGGACTAATATCAACTAAACAGTGAGGGGAACACAAAAAAACCCAGTTTGAAACACCAATAATTGAATATGTAATTCATTTTCACGAAGCTAGGAACTTACAGCTTCTTTCTTAGCATTCAGAGAACGTTCTTTTGTTGTTACACTTTCATCCTTCAATTCAGCAGTTGACTTTGTTTGATATGTGGATTGTATATTGTTTTTTTGTGAAAGTGATTTTTTATTGGATTTATAGATATGTTGCTCGGTTGATTTATTTTCAGCCGATGTTTTCATACTACTAATTTCATGATTTGGATGATGATAACGATGTTGATAATAATGCTGATAATGGTGATGGTAATCTTTATCAGCTAATGAATTCTCAGGTTCATTTGATTTGCCTTTAATCTGTTTTGTGTTAATTTTCTCATCGGTTTGCTTATCTGATAGATTTTTCTTAGTAGAATAACTAGTTTTTTCTTTTGATTGAATCGGAGGATGATGGTTATTTTCATTTTCAGTTTGGCTCGTTGAACTAATTAATTGAGATGGAGTTGATTTCGCTGATGGATGACGGTGATTTTCTTTATGTTTTGATACATAATCTACATTCTTTGGTTGATTTTCTTCTTGTTGATGAGATTGAGGTTTTAAAACATGGTGGTATTCTTCAGTCATCGGTTTGTGTTCTTGACTTTCTTGATGTTCTGGTTTTTTCAAGTGATTTCGCTCTGCATGTGGATAATGATAATTATAATTATGATGATGTCTTGGTTGGATTTCATGTCTTCGATCATTTCCCCGATAATGTTCATGATGATGAGGCACATGATGGTTATGATGTGAATGAGCATCTTTGTGATTGTTACTATGATGTTCATGTGTTTGGTAATTTTCTTTTCTATAGTTCACAGATAATATTGAGACTATTCGAAAGATTATTAAGAATAAGCAGAATATATTCATGCTGAATATTTTCATCTATTGTTGTTGTTCGTTTCTATTGAATTATTCACACCTTTTGGGTATCAAACAAATTCATATAATGAAAATATATGCTTGACATTTGAATGGCAAAAAAAGGATATTGACTATAGTTTTCTTTTTGTTTCCACCGATATTTATTTATCTTATAGAATATCTTCAGATCATATGATCTGATCAATAAATAGGTGCACTTGTTCAAGTAATGATCTTTTTTTTTTCAAGAGTACAGATATTAAATTTGAATGTAATTGTATTTCAGTTTGTTTATAATGATTGAATTAATTAAGTAGACTTATAAGTTCCTACGATTTGAACAGGAGAAGTAGAATTAGGGAGAGAGTTTTACAATATGCTCTACAAGATACTGTGGTGCGTGCTACTTATATTGATGTAAGTAGTATATGACACGAGCCAGAAACATAATGTCTGGCAGCAGAAGATGGGGGAAGATCAAGGAAAGAAGAGTGAGAACACAATGGAATTTGTAAGAAAACGCATGAACAATGAAATGTGAGACAATGGATTGATGATTGCAACAGGAACAGTCCGGTTTAATAATGATGGAATAATATTTTGCAAATTAATGATTCGCTATATTGTTTTTCTATTTTACCAAGTAACTCTGTAAATTTGTGCTAAACATACCAGGTTGTCACCACCCGTGTTCTGTTCACTACGGATACCATTAAAATACGTTATGACAGGAACACGTCTTTGATGAGAAAAAGAGATTTTTTTGGGCAAACATCAATAAGAATGACTTGAAATGACATCTACAATAATTTTCCTTATTTTGATAAAAGGTCAGTTTATAATATTCTGTAAAACCTATCGTCTAAATTTGACCGAATAGTTTCACAGTATTTGGGCGCCGAGTTGATGTAAGACATTAAGGAGTAAGAAGATATTTGAAGGGGTTTTGTGGAGATTGTAGTAATTTAAACAGTTGAGATCATGAGTCCATCCAGTGTTTCCAGGTTTTCCATGGTGGTCTAGCTTCAATTGGCTCATGATCTCAACTGTTGAAAGAAGGTGTTTGTAAAATTTCAGCGAATGAATTCGAAGTTAATCAGAAGTTTGATCCAAGTTTTTTCGAGGAATTAATTCACCAAGATTTTAGAAAAGAAAAAACATTTTTTAAAAATGGGAATTCACGATTTAATTTCTATATTAGTGAAGATAAGATTAACAAAGGGTTTGTATAGTTAATTGGATACTTATTATAATGATAAGAACCCAGATTTAGTGTAGCCACCGCTAGGAGTTTTTCAAGTATACTTATCATTTTACAGTTCAAGATATATTTAAAAAAACAATCTTAAGTAATCAGTATAAATTGATTCAAATGGTAACAATATGAAAACATAATCGTCATTATTATTATTATTACCCTTGCTAACCTTTTGAAGAAATCTATTCAGTAACCACTCTTATCTACTATATCTAACCTTATTCATATTATTCTACATATTACATAATTTCTGATTTGTAATTACATTATTCTCTCTTTCAACCCATGTAGACCATATTTATTGTGATCGTTGATCTCGCAATTTCATTTCACTTATAAACTGATTCAAGTCAACAACTTCATATTAGTCAGTACTAACATTAACGACTTGATAGTTGAAATCATGAGTCAACTGAAGCTAGACCACCATAGAAAACCTGATAGTACTGGATGACCGTTTCGTCCTAGTATGGGATTCGTCAGCAGTGCGCATCCACGATCCCGCCTCGTGAGATTCGAACCCAGGAACTATCAGTTTCGCGCATGAGCGCCTAACCACTAGACCACTGAGCCGGCATCCAACAGTGTCTAAAGATGTCTAACTTTAACCAATCCACGAAATTGAGCTATATATCCACCATTGTCTTCAGTGAGTTACTATCTCACAACTGACCTGGTTGAACTCCATTGGTCACTGCTTCTCTCATATTAGGACGAAACGGCCATCCAGTGCTTACAGGTTTTCCATGGTGGTCTAGCTTCAATTGATTCATGATCTTAACTATTAAAATTACTATAATATCCAAAACACGCCTTGTAATATCAGCGATTTTATTTTATTTTATATGACAAGCAACAATCTTTGATTCACATGCTACAATTTTAAATAATGTACTCTGCCTTAAACCTTACCAATTTTATAGATTAATAATTTGGTTATATAATTGTAGAACCTGATGAGAAATTCATCGAAAAGAATATTCTTCGTTTATATAATTATGTTTTAACATAATTGATTGTTTACAACTTTCCATGCTCTAAACTATCTGAAGTTTATGCTGATGATGATATCGTTCAGAAGAACGATGAAAGCTCCACGACAAAACCATCCAGCTCAGAGAACAAAACTCCATCAAAAACTAATCATCATTTTCAACAGATTGTAACATTTAATGGTCATGAACGTTTATATGAATAGAATAACATGAGTTTTGTTTGATTTCATTTAGTTTTCATCAACCGCTGATAATCTAATAATATTTCAAAGAATTCAATAAATACTATGAAACTATTCGATCAAATTTAGACGAAAGTTCTTCTATAATTAAAGAAAAGTTATGAAATATTGATTATGAGAAGAGAAGGAAAAAGAAAACTAAAGGTTAAAATGAAATATTTATGTGATCAAATAATCGATCGTAAATTAAGCTCAGTTAGCTTAAATGTAAGATTAAGAATTCGAGAAAAAGGAAACATAATAAATAAGGCCTAAGAGATACTATTATTATAACTTTAGGAAATAAACAAGAACCAGTGATCGATAAACAATCGATCACTTAGAAATAGTTGAAGATACCTATTTAAGTTCTTGTTTATATGAGATGTTTGGACGTTCCATGTACCTATAAACATTTTTACTCTGGTTGTTAGAAGGGGCATCGGCCTCGTGGCTTCCGAAGGAACTCGGCTTTCACCATGAAGCGTCATAATTCTTCTAAATGAAGACCTTCTAACTCCCAGGGCAGAGTCTAAATTATTTTTTCTGGTTAACGTTTTTTTAGCGAGTTAGTTTTCTACGGGATGGGGTCGCTAACCTCATGCCCAACCCTCCTCCTTTATCCGGACTTGGGACCGGCAGTAACTCTAGAAGAGCTACAGGCGGAGTCAGAATTTTCAATACCAACGTCAGGGCACCTCTGCTGTACGAAGCTGAAACTTGGAAAACTACAACAACCACCATCAAGAAGGTACAAGTACTTATAAATATCTGTCTACGCAAGATACTCAACATCTGTTGGCCGGATACCATCAGCAACAGCCTTTTGTGGGAGAGAAAAAACCAGCTTCCAGCTGAAGAGGAAATTAGGTAAGGACGATGGAAATGGATAGAACACACATTACGGAAATCATCAAACTGCATCACGAGACAAGCCCTAACTTGGAATCGTGAAGGGAAGCGGAAAAGAGGAAGGACAAAGAACACATTACGTCGGATAATAGAAGCGGATATGAAAAGGATCAATATGAACTGGAAGGAGCTGGAAAGGATTGATCAGGACAGGGTTGGATGCAGAACGCTGGTGAGCGGCCTATGCTCTTTCACGAGGAGTTACGGGTGTAAGTAAGTAAGTAAGTTATATGAGACGATTGAAACTATTATTGTCAAAGGTTTGGATTCCTTTTTCATGAAGGTATTGAAACATTTTAATGACTAAAAAAACCCCATCATCATAAAAATACAGGTATAGGAACGAATAATATTGTTTTCAATAATTTCTTATCAGGTTCTACAATTATAAATTTAAATTAATAATCCATAAAATTGGCAAGGTTTAAGGCAGATGGATGTAAACGATCTTTTCTTAGGTATTTTGAAGAAAAAGATTAGATTTAGTTTGAGTCACCTCTACCATAAAGCATTGAGTTCAATTGTATTTCATCTGAATTTATAATTTAAGGTACAGTCGGGTCCAAGAATGCGAAGTGTAAAGTGTCTCTGAATGGATTTCAACCTTAATTTGTCCATTATGCAAATACTACTAAGAGTAAAAGTTCAGTATTCTAGTAGTGGTCGAACATAAACTTAATACATTAAAGTACGTGACTTGTTGTTGTAAAGGTTACGAATTATGCAGTCCATAAGGCGTTGGGACTTTGAGGTCTATTTGGAGAATCTTTTTGTGAAGCACAAAATATAAAAGCATCCAAGATCATTACTGTATGAACGTAGATAAGACCTTACCATTGATGGTGGGATCTAAGTTGAGGGATATATTGTCGAAGCATGTCTATCCTTAATTATTCGTGTTAAGCTCCAACTACCATTTCGAGTACCACTGGGCTACCTTGTTGAGCTTCATACTGATGCAATTCTGCATATTGTTCAGTTCACGAGGATAAAATGAACACCATACTTTAAGATCGTCTGCACATGGAAGAGGCCTACCCATACAAAAGTAGTCGTAAATATTTACATAAACTAAAAAGAGTAAGGGCTCTAAGACAATACCTTGTATTACATCAGTTTTGACCGGGACAACATCCGACAAGGAGTACTTAATTTTGACAATTTGGTGTCGGCGTCTAAAAAAAAATCAAACCAAACAAGCAGACAGTTTTTGGCCCCATAAGATGCGAGCGTGCCCATAAGAAGGTGGCGGTTAATCATGTCGAATGCTTTAGAAATGGCAGTGTATACGACTAAAACTGTACATCGTCGGTTACGTTGAGTAATGACTAAATTAAGGAAATCAAAATGGCACGTCATACAAGATCGATTTTTAAGAAAACCATTCTGCGAAACACTGATAAGTTTTTCAGTGAGTAAATAGTTACATAGTTCATCACCAACAATGTTTCTATAATCTTAGAGATAACTGGAGTAACACTCATGGACCGGCAATTGTTCATGTTAGTCTTGTATCCAGATTAGTAACGTAGTATGATATACGTGATTTTCCAACAGTAAGGGTAAGTATCTGCTTCCAGAGAAAGAGTAAACGGCTTCAGAAGAATAAGTGGACTATCTGGATCACCATATTTCTAGAGAAAAGATGAAATCCCGTCTATTCCATGACCGCTCGAAACCTAATGGAGCTTAAAGGCTTACTAATTCTCAGGTATATGAGCGAGATAGACTTCACTGAGTTAGTCACAT